AGCACCCCGACTCCTGGCCGTGGGAGGAGGGAGAGAGGGGGCCGTCTGTTGTCAGGCTAGCTCTCTTTTTATTTCCAGCTTTATGAGTAATAATTCACATTCCTACAGTTCCACTGTATAAAGGCGTGCAACTCGGTGGTTTCTAGTGCACTTGCGTAGCCATCACCACAGTCGATGTCAGAACGTTTTCATCCCGCAGAAGACACCTGGTACCTCTAGCAATCACTCCCCACTCCCTACCGCCCATCCTACCAGCTCTAGGCAGCCACCAGTCTGCTTTCTGTCTCCACAGATCCGCCTGTTCTAGAGCACTCACAGTAATAGAATCGAGGGATGATATGTGGTCTTTTGTGATTGGCTTCTTTTCCTTAGCACAATATTTCATGGTTCATCCACACTGGAGCATGCATCAGTACTTCGCTCCTTTTTTATTTCCGACTCGTTTTCCGTTGTGTGCCTGTGACACATTCTCTGTACTCGGTCGTCACTGGTGGGCTAGAGCTCGTTTCTACCCAGTGAACGAGGCTATCGCCGACATTCTGTACATATGTAAATTTTTGTGGATGTTTTCATTTTTATGGGGTACACTGCTAGGTGTGAAATTACTCGGTCATATTTTAACTCACAGATTTAACATTTTGAAGAATTGCCACTGTTTTTCCAAAGTGGCTGCACAATCTTACGTTCCCACCAGCAATGTGTGGCGGTTCTGTTTTTTCACATTATTATTATAGCTATCCTAACAAATATAAGGCATGGTATCACACTGTGGCTTCCACTTATATTTCTCTGATGGCTACTGATGTTGAGAATCTCTTCATGTGCTGTCAACCATTTGCATATTTTGGACAAATGTCCATTTATACAATTTGCCCATTTTTAAATTGAGTTGTCTTTTTACTGTTGAGCTATAAGAGCTTTTTATATTCTAAATATAAGCCCATTATCATGTACATGATTTGCAAAAATGTCTTCCCGTTATATTGTTTATCTTCTTCACTTTTTTGATGGTGTCGTGTGAAAACAAATGTTTTTAATTTTGTTAACATATAGCTTATGTATTTTTGTTACCTATGCTATTGGTGTCAGACTTAAGAAATTATGCCTGGTATGTAATAGATTTATTGTCTTGATTAGCTGCTTGATAGGAAGCTTCAAAATCATAACATGTGACTGCTCCATCTTTGCTATTCTTTTTTAAGATTGATTCCGGTTCTTTTGAATATTTATGTAAGTTTTAAGATTGTCCTGTCAACTTTATGAAGAAATCAGCTTGAAACTTGATGAGATGATGTTGACTGTATGGATCATTTTAGAGAGTATTATCATCTTAACAATACTGTGTCTGCGTATCTATGGACAGTGGATGTTTTTCCATTTATTTAGGTCTTTAATTTCTTTCAGCCATATTTTATAATTTTCAGAGGTAAATCTTGCACTTGTTTAATTAATTTCTACATATTTTGTCTGATACTTTTGTAAATGGAAACTTTTTTCTTAATTTTTTTTCAGGTGCTCATGGCAAATGTTTAGACAGATGATTGATTTTTGTATATGGGCCTTGTTTCCTGCAACCTTATTGAACTTGTTTGTTCTCTCCTTTCTTTCAGATCCCATTTAAGATTTTGAGTGGGTATAAACATGTTGTGAGTTCCTTCCACTTCTGTGTGAATGACACAAAGCTCCTCAGTGGCTCCTATGATTGTACTGTGAAGCTGTGGGTCGGTGATTTCATGCTAGGTTTTCCTAAAACTAAAACATCTCAAAAGCTTATGTAATTCTTGTGGAGAGTTTTCCAGTACTGAGTTCCCTGACACAGAAGCTCAAGCACTGTAAAGGCCTTCTGAACAAAGTGTAAGAAGGAGGAGCCCACCCCAGTGTCAGCCATTAGAGAGAAGTCAGGGTAGCTGTAGCCTGTCTGTGGATCTGAACACAGTAGGAGCAGGGGATGAAGACCATTAGACTGAGAGCCCCCCAGCTATTTTGGGATGGTGCTTTTTGTGCCTGGGTTATACCTGGGGTCTCTGAGTCACTTCTCTTGGTCTCCTCATCTGGAACACTCAGTTTCATCCACAAAGACTCTATTGCCAGGCCTAGGTGATCACAGAGGACAGAAAAGTGGCCAGGCCTGGGACTTGTCCACAGGGGGTGGTT